TAGGTGCACTTTGTAGTTCTACAGTTACAGACTGTAGTCCATCTGTTTCTCTGATACTTTGTTAGCCCCCTTTTACCCTGTTCTTCAGTGGTCAGGACCCCCATGGACCCTCACAGAGCAGGTATTATTTGGGTGGTGGATCATTCTCAGCACTGCAGTAACACTGACGTGGTGGTGGTGTGTTAGTATGCGTTGTGCTGGTCTGAGTGGATCAGACACAGCAGTGCTGCTGGAGTTCAAACACCTCAGAGTCACTGCTGGACTGAGAATAGTCCACCAACCAGGTGCGTCTAATAGAGTGGACAATGAGTGGACACTGAGGTGTTTAAAAACTACAGCAGTATGCAGAGAAACAGATGGACTACAGTGGGTAATTGTAGAATTACAAAGGTCACCTATATAGTAAGTGGAGCTGATAAAATGGACAATGAGCATAGAAAAAAGGAGGTGGTCATAATGTTATGCCTGATCGGTGTTTGTTGACACAAAAGTCCAAAATTAAGTCAAGAGTGTGGTTGCAGCAGTCAGTAGGCCCAGTTTATTTTGAGTGAAGCCGATGGAGTCTACGATAGATACACATGCTTTTCCCAGTGGATCCTGTTCTTTATCAAAATGAATATTAAAAACTCCTACACTTATTACTTTATCAGTACACATTACATGACTTGATAAATAGTCAACAAATTCCTGTAACAGTAGATTGTAAGTAGTAAATTTAAGCTGTCCTTGTCGCTAAATCAGTAACGTTAGAAATTGTAACCTGTTTCAGATTAATGCCTAAAGCTTTTGCATAGATAGTTACTATGCCTCCTCCTCTGCCCTTTAAATGAGGGCTGTGTATATATCTATATCCTTATAGTTGCATTCTTTTGGTCTAATCTAAGTTTCTGTGATGCATAGAGCATGAAAATCATCATCAGTGATGATTTCATTTATAGTGACAACTGTACCCTACACTGATAGCAATCTAAGCACCCTCGTACAAGGAGTGGATGGGCCAGAGCATATAATGGCATAGGACATCATCTGGGCTAATTTGCACACCTCTTTAATATTATTCTTAGTCACTTTGGATTGCTGCAGTCGAATGCCATTAGTACCTACATGAATAACTATCCTAGAAATCCAATAGCTAACAGCTTCAGGTTTCCTGTAATGTCTGGTGCTCGCATTGGTGTCCCTGAAGAAGAAGCTATTTTGTAGAATCTCCTATACCCTGAGCACTTTCAGCAGGTTTCTCAGTGGGAGCCTCACTGAATGGGGCAAGTCTGTTGGACACATGAAATGGAGAGGAGTGATGAGGAAGCCTTAGCGTTAGCTTTGACTTTGCAACCATGCCACTGAGATGCCACCTATTTGCCATGCTGTGAGGGTTCTGCAGCTAGAGTCAAGCGCGTGCTGCCTCTCCCTGTGGCACCTGGAGCTTCTACCAGCGAGTCTGTGCCTTGCTTGCTAACCCTGATCATTTTAATGTCCAGATGCAAACCTCTAACTATATAGTGTTCTCCATCAGTAAGAGACTAATTTACACTTATCACAAAGGCAGTTAGAATTGTCACTAGTGTTGGAGACGGAGGAATAGCTAAACGTTGCCTTCAGAGAACAGAAGAGGCTTGCGGGCTGCCACTCTACTACTTAAGCTAGGTTTATGCTTGACACATTGTAACTAATGCAAGGGAGTGCGCACAAAAAATGATGTAATCATCCCGGAGTGTGGCACTTCATTCAAAATAATTGAATTTGAAGGGAGATTTGCTGAGCAGGTTTGCGTCTACATGCACTTGTATGATACCTCACACTGAAAACTGCAAGAACAGAAGTGCTAACTACAAACGGTAACGGGTTTGCTTCAGGTTTGTGCCATCTGTGGAGTCTCGTGCATCACTCTGCTACCAAAGTATAATTCAGGCTCTATGTCGCTTCATCGGCTGATTTGAGTCTTTTCCAAATGTGTGTCAAAGATCCAATTAAAAATGGCCCCTGATTGCCTATGGTTGTAATTTATTTAAAAATAATATGCAACTATGTGAAAACATGGAAAAAATCATCTAGAAGTGCAGAAATAGAAATGCTCCTGTCAAGTGGTTTTAAAAAAACAGAAACTACAGATAAATGAGTGAGGATGAATGAGTGAGAATGAGTGACTGAGAGTGAGTGAGTGAGGGTGAATGAGGAAGAGTGGACGAAGGTGGATGAATGAGTAAGTGTAATTAGTGATTAATGAAGTGCTGCCCCATCAGTGAGTTTTCTGATTAACTCTAACAGACTGCCAAAATCTGGCCTCATCCACACATATCAGAATATTTTTGAAATCTGGTTTTAAAAAAAAGCTTTGTTCACAACAGCAGCAGTTTTCAAAAAAATTGTCTATTTCTGCACATTTTATCTATTACACCTCAAGAACATAGTGAGCGTGCAAGCTGCACAAAATAGTGTGCCGTAAAGCTAAAGCAGAGAGTTTATAAAAACGTCATGGCATTTGACTGTAGTAGACTTTGATGTGCAGCCCTTCAAACCTTCATACCTTGATATTTTGCACAGATTAAAAAAAAAAAAATCTTAAAAAGCGAAAGAACCCTACCACTCAACGTGGAGTTGCCGTGGCCACGCTAGTGTATCTGAAACGTCCACTGATCAATCCTGATCGGGCAGAGAAGTTTTTCTTGGTTTTCACCCCATTTAGGAAGTTTTCCTATGGTGTTAGAATTTATTTTGAATCTGACTTTGGTTAATGATCATGAAGCCACGTATCGTTAGAATCTCTCGTAATTTTAATATTTGCAGTCGATTTTACACCCCTTTTACAAGAACTGAGTGCAGTCTACTCTGATGCCTCTACAATAAGCCAGATTCAATTAGAAACATGCTGATGATTCCCAAATCACCCCCAAACTGCCGAGCATATAGAAACAACCTAGTCATCGGTAATATCTTAGACAGAATTCTGCATACTTAATAAATGAAAACGGCTACAAACTCCACAGGTTAATTGCATGATGTCAGTGCTTTCAGAGAGCCGTGTTTTGCTTGTCCACATGAAAACACAGAGAGAAAACAGTACAAAATACAGATACAATATCCAGTGTATGACTAAAGGTGTGCGCCGTACTAGAGGGCAGGGGCGCAACTAGACTGCCATCATCAGGGACTGAGCCAATCAGTCCAGAGAATCTGTAGTGAGGAGAGTTGCCACTCAAAAATGTCTTCAGGGTTTGTTAGACGCTAGTGGGTGCTCCTGAGCGAGTGCAAAATAAATGGTGTGCTGTGGAGCTTTTTCACAGAATCGTAGTTTGTAATCATTTTTATAGAGAAAAATGCACTTTTTGTGCTCTGTGTTCTGAACACACAACAGCATAAAGATTTCAACACCGATTGAACTCATTTATAGGACTTTCTTACAATGCCACATGTACATTCACAATGCTTCACTCAGCCAGTGAGCTCCTCACCTCACCAACCACTCAGCACTTGGTAGCAGTAATTCTACCCAACCAATCAGCACACGGTAGCAGTAACGTTAGCGTCCTACGGCCCAAAACCTGTGTGCTGTAGAAAATTAAAAAGACACTGTGAGTTTCCTTTAATTTTTTAATGGAATACATCCTTCTGCTTTCCAAGATTGAAGGTAGGTCCCGAACCAATGGTTAAAAACAAGTTTAATATTTCGTTTTTTGGCCATTTAGCTTCATTCACCCCCATCCATTGAGGATTTGCTCACGGGCGTTTTGCAGTCCTGATTTTGATGTTACAGGAGAAACAGGAAGTGACCATGCTTCTTTTTAACCAGCTCAGATCAGACCCTTCTCCAGACCTGCCTCATTTTCCTTAGCCCTCCAGTCAGACAGTTGCAAGACGATTTTCAGATCTTTAGCAACACATATGGACATATTTTGGTTAGGAGATGTAGGTTGTTGTCCTGAAAAGCCACAAATAAACTTAAAAATGTTAATTTTGAATTTGTTTGTATAGTAAACTTGTGTGGTGTTAACTTTCATAAGTTACTGTTTTAACCACATTGTTTACGCAGTAAGTTAACTTCATTAAATAGAAGAATTCAGCAAACGCACCTCAAGACCAGCAGAGACAGCTGATAGTGCTTTAGACAAATCATTTCCTTTCCTTTCATTTTATCTATGTATCCATTGAAGACTGTATCCTGGACTATGAAATTGTTTGGAGCAAACCAAGCAGTAACTTCAGTGTTTGTGAACTGCTGAAATGGCCGTGTTGCAGTTTGGGATGCAGTATATCAGTAAGATAGCTCTGGACACATGCTGGAATATTTGGCCAGAGCAATTACGTCATACGGGTATCTTTACCATACTGAGGAAATTCTTGTTGGTCTCATACTGCATACTGCTTACTACGTTGAGGCTACTTTAAAGATACTTTGAGCTTTATGTAGTAGGCATTTTCAAACACAGACCCTGTTAAAGTTTAGGAAATAGGGTTTAGGGTGTAAGGGTGAGATTAAAACTCGGGGAGCAGAGGTAATATTAGAATTCAGGCCACTATTGAGTTTGTTGATTTGTGTAAAAACGCTCTAAAACAGGGACGGCCGAACTTTGTTTGTGATGGCCTCAGGGTGAAAAAAGGTTTCAAATAGTTTTGAAAAATGTATTTTGTTTTACACGGCATATTTAGTTTAAAAAATCACCATTTTAAATGGAAAATAAGAGTTTATTAAGTTACATGTATTATCAAAAAAAATAGGTTGGATGAATGTCCTCATGGGCCACAAGCAAAGTGGACAGAACATCTCGCAGAGCACCTTAGTGAGACATAATCGTTGAAATCTAATGTTGATGCAAAACGGCCACTAGAGGGCATCCTGGTCAAACTTACTCAACTACAGGCTCGCAACACTGAATCATCAGCCTGACATAAAATTGTCCTCAGATTTAACATAAGATAGAGTTCAATGCAGGTTTTTATTCAGGAGATGTGTTGATATGTAAATGAATGAGTGAACTTATGTTGTCCTCTCTGTGTTGCTGTAGCTGCTGTGATGCCTGGAGATGATGCAGCACTTCTGACGCCGGTGAGGATGACTCAGCGTGGGAAAGAAACGGGAATACACACCCCCAACAAAGACCTCCTCTTGACCCCCTCCCTCAGCCCAGGGGTCAGCACACACGGTACGAGTTACAGCACACACACACACACACACACACACACACACACACACACACACACACATACCTACACACACACACTATTGACCCCTTCCTCAAGCCACCGGTCAGCAAACACACATGAAATAAATCTGATATTTCTTTGTGATGCATGTGCATAGCTGCAGTGTAGTGTTTCTCAAGCTGCAGGCCTTGGTAACCGCATAGCTACGATGTAGCGCTGCTCAAGCGGCTAACCCAGGCAGCAATGTAGCTGCAGTGTAGCATCGCTCTAGTGGCCGGCCCAGGCAGCCTCATTGTTGTGGCTTTGCTTAAGCGATTGATCCAGGCAGTCTTGTAGTTATGGTGTAGGGTCACTCAAGTGGCCGGTCCAGGCAGCCTCATAGTTTCAGTGTAACTTTGCACTAGCAGCGTAGCGTCACTCTGGCAGCTGGTCCAGGCAGCCTTCTAGCTGTGGTGTAGCATCGCTCAAGCGGCCAGCCCTAGAAGGCAGTAGCTGTGGTGTAGCGTCCCCCAAGCAGTTGGTCCAAGCAGCCATGTAGTTGTAGTGTAGCATTGTTTAAGTGGCCGGTTCAGGCAGCCTCCTAGCTGCAGTGTAGGGTCACTAAAGCAGCCAGGTAAGGCAAATGTTCAGCTGAGATGTAGCATCATCACTCATGCAGCCAGTCCAAGCAGCCATGTAGTTGCAGTGTAGCTGCAGTGTAGCTTCACTCAAAACATGCACACAAGCGATGCAAAACAAACGACACCGAGTTGACATTGGGTAGATGTTGCCTGTTGCCCCCGGATGCAACATTTCATGTTTTGGCCACTGAAAATGCAGAGCATATGGGCCAAGTTGCCACTTGCTTTGAGGACTTTTTTGCATTCTTTTTCCATGTTAATAAACCTGTTTGGTTAGACACAGAACTAATCAGACAAATCAGATTTAGTCACAGTTCATTAACTGTAACCACCGCGATGGCGGTGTCTTACCTGTTATGGTCCCCCTGGGTCATTTCTGGGTCTTTTCTCACTTAAAATGTAGGACATTACTGGGTTACTTTTTACTCGTTTGGGCTTTGTGTCATTCACATGTGCAGCCCTTAAACTGTATTTTTCTAGGCATGCTCGCACTCATTCTTGCCATGACATTCCAGATAAATAGGACGTGACGTCCTCAACGTGAACGACCAACAGCTCCTTCATTTCTGAGTCATGTACAAAAATACACTCCCGCTGGCTTTTTCTCTCACAAAAACTGAACACTGTAATAAACAAGCATGTCTCATGCTTTGCTTTGCTGGCTGTGCTGTGTTGCAGAGGTGGCCATGCACACAGGTGGGGCCTTTTTGCTGCTTCTCTCTAGATTGATGTACAAAATAAACTCCCAGTTTTCATTTGTGAAACAAATCTAAAAAATGTAACTGCTAAACCTGATCTTCATAGAAACATTCCACTTTAGCAGCTGTAAAATAGTCACCACTGTTTTCCCAGTAATGTATCTGTGTTTGATCACCCATGAGCTGTCCTGGGTATTGTACTAGGTTTTGTGTAAGTAAATTGTCTGGTCAACTTGACTGGGATTTTCACTTTGGCTCACATTCACACTTAAGTCCTTCCTGTTTAATTACAGGTGAAAGTGCATATGTGAAAGGAGCTGTAGTTGCTCTTCCATTTTCGCTAATATGACTCTATGAAATAATTTTATAAATGTTATGTTAAATAAGATGACATTACACTGACAGGCGATTACTACAAAAGCTAAACGGTAAGACCTAAATAATCTAGATATGATGCTGTCAGCGAGAACCAGATAGCCATGGGGACTATCATGGTATTTTTTAAAACAAATATTTCCTTTTTCAACACATCACCTGACTGTTTTTTGGTACTGAAATTTGCTTGTTAATTGTAATATAATATAAGAAAAATGTAGTAAAATGTTTGTTATTCTGGCCACAAATTTTTCATTTTGGCCACAAGATTGATTGAGTTGCCAGTGCAGATTTTTCTGTTTGTATGCCCCTGGTCATGTGACCAAGTTTGAGCCAAGTTTGAGAAGAGTTTGTGTGGACTTTGTGTTGACTGTGTGCAGAATTTATGATGAGTTTGATCTGAATTTGATCTGAGTTTGATCAAAGTTCGATCTGAGTTTAAAAAAAAGTTGCCTAACATAGGAGGTTGTGCGAAGGTTTTGTGTAGTTTGTGTGTTTGAGTGGAATTTGACTAGTCAGTAATTGAGGTCCTGTTTTATGGTGGTGTGTGTTACGGTGATAAAGAACGGCCTACAGGGGGAGTTACTGTGTGAGAGGACTATGACAGCTCAGGGTGATTTGGCTGAAATATTACCGCAGCACCTGGATTTCTGCTGTGATTCGTGTTTGATGCTCAGCAAGGCCAGTAAAGAGAAGAACCCTCCTCTGTATGTGTATAGAATACATGATTCTTCAATGTGTCTACACATCCAGCCAATCAGCATTCAGTCTGGACTTAGGCTAGGTTTCCTAGGTTACTGGCGGATCTGCACCTGGGCAGGGATCAGCGCCTCTGGGGCATCTCTACCTGCAGACACATACACAGACTTTATCACACACTCTATCACACACACACGCACACACACACACACACACACACACACACACACACACACACACGCGCACACTCTAACATTCCTATCAGCGTACTACAGCAAATCTCGGCCCTTGGAGTTTTGTTCTGTTTAGTTCTGTAAACTCAGCGCTCATTTGTTCTGAATCAGAAACCTGAGCTACAACCCCATCTCCATGGCAACAGCTCTTCAGCAGCCACTCCAGACACACTCACATAAACTCACAGCTCCTAATGTGGACGTGCGTAGATGGGTTATGATTAGTACGAGGCTTGAGCTCAGTAGTATCGTCAGTCGGCAGTAGTGTCCTTCTGTTTGGACTGTCACTCAATTTGGATGATTATAATGTCTAAAAAAATGCTGTCAGCAGCTTTAAGATACACAAATTGATCTTTTTGTGGGTCACAATTAGACGATGGTACATAACGATATCACAAGCCTAGTATAAAGTGGGCATGTATAGATAGTATGGAGTGAATGTGTGTAGATGGTTAGGGTTAGTACAGAGTGGACAGTGTAGATGGTTTGGGGTAGTACAGAGTGGACATGTGGAGATGGTTTGGGGTAGTACAGAGTGGACATGTGGAGATGGTTTGGGGTAGTACAGAGTGGACGTGTGGAGATGGTTTGAGATAGTACAGAGTGGACATGTGGAGATGGTTTGGGGTGGTACAGAGTGGACATGTGGAGATGGTTTGGGGTAGTACAGAGTGGACATGTGGAGATGGTTTGGGGTAGTACAGAGTGGACATGTGGAGATGGTTTGAGATAGTACAGAGTGGACATGTGGAGATGGTTTGGGGTAGTACAGAGTGGACATGTGGAGATGGTTTGGGGTAGTACAGAGTGGACAGTGTAGATGGTTTGGGGTAGTACAGAGTGGACATGCGTAGATGGTTTGGGGTAGTACAGAGTGGACATGCGTAGATGGTTTGGGGTAGTACAGAGTGGACATGCGTAGATGGTTTGGGGTAGTACAGAGTGGACAGTGTAGATGGTTAGGGGTAGTACAGAGTGGACGTGTGTAGATGGTTTGATGGTTAGGGGTAGTACAGAATAGTTGTGTGTAGGTTGCTCATAACTATGCCAGAACTCTTTTTTGAGATGTGAACAATGTCTAACAGCATAACAGAATAGTGCCATTACAACACACACACAACACATTTGAAAGAGAAGCTAGATAACTTTGTTTGATGCATGTTAGATACTTGTTTAGCTCATGTTTACTTACATTTGAGTTGTGGAGTACTCTGCTCGACTCTGTTTGGGTCAGCTGATTGTTGTGATTTGTGGCGTTCTGAATACGTGTCCATTGCCAGCGGGAAAGTTGCAGAACAAGCTATGCAACAACACTCATAACATGGTTGAAGGATCTGTCTTCTGCCTCTCTGTTTTTTTTTTTAATTGTCATTTATTGGTCGTTATGAATGCCAATACCGATTTATCTGGGATTAACTTATATTGGCCGGTAATATCGACACACCAATTTCTTGATTGGGCTCTGTTGTTAATACAGAGTGGATATGTGTAGGCAGGACATGGCAGAAGTGTTTTTTCAAGGAGGGCTAGATTGGACCGGTCAAAATGCCTGAGGGCCAAAATATAAAATAAGTTTTCAAAATATCAAAAATACAACCATGTAGAGCAGTTAATCAAACTGAGTCTCTTTATGGTGATCCATTCGGAGAGTTTAGCAGTGACCACTCAAATGCATATAAATCTGCCACTAGAAGAGTTATGGTGCATGCATGTTCATGCTGGTCATCAGCGCATAGAATTGGAGCTTTTTGTGAGCTATCTTGTTTCCTGTCATTATATGAAAGATGCACGAGGCGTCTTTATTGTTGAATTGCTCATCCAGAGCAGTTTGGGTCGGTAAGCGCTTATAACAAATTGTTGATTTTGTTTATTCAGAGTAGCAATAAAATGTAAGTAATGTAATCTAATCCAAGTGTTTTCGTGTTCAAAAATGTAATCTGTCACACAAGCTAAACAAAAATCTGTACATTTTTTATTTGTTAGATCACGTTCTTTACACGTGAAATAAAAGCAGCGACTGCGTTCAGAAAAACTTAATCAGATGGGAAGAGAAAATTAAACAGCACAAATTGCCACATTGTTTTCAGTCTTAAAGGGTTAATATTTAATGGACTACTGAATTTGCTGTGATAAGAAGTTGATGCTGTGAGACTCGGGTAGCTGCAGTTGCTTTAGTTTCTTTCCTGAATATTTATTGTAATGTCCATGCTTTGTTTCATGGCTATTGATATTAATTTCATTACAGTCTTCTGTCATATGAAGCACACACGTTTGCTGTGGCTCTTAATGGAAGAGTATTCAAAATTCCATCTAGCCAGAATCGCTGGTTCTCAGTGTTCAGTTTGTGCTTTATGGCTTAGTCTGGACTAAATAA